TAACTCAACAAGTAAATGTTTAGATAAAGAAAAATAAAGAGGTGCAAAAGTAACCAATAATGATAATCCAATCAATATGTATATGCCACATAACTTAATAACTTATCGTTTAATAAAACAAGATCATAAAGAACAATTTCTTTACAAATTATTAACTTACAAAACTAATTTTACTTTTTAAATATATAAGTGATCAAATTAAAAGTTTGCTCAAAGTAAAAGCAACTTGATGGACTCATACGATTTTGAGATGGTAAGAAAACTAATGATGCATGATCAAAAGTAAAATATAAAATGGATTATATAGTAATTTACCTTGTTTCCGAGAGAAAAATAAACACAAATATTTTTACCTTCTTTATATTACTTTGCTTCTGTCACGCCCCGAGCCTACACCCTGGACGTGGCCAACATTCGAAGACCATTGCTGGCCCCAAGCGAACCCTTGGTATGACTTTCTTAACTCAGCGGAAACCTTACTCAACAGAATAACTCAATGCAACACCATGTTATAAAACAACCTAACTGAGGCATAACATGCCAAAAGGCAACTCGTGTCTCAAAATAGAATATTTACATATATACATAGATGAGAGACTCAATACTAACTAACTGACTGTCTATGAAGCCTCTATAACACTGAGATGGATGTTGGGACAAACCTCACAACATCCTAATAAAACAAAACTAAGAGAACAAAATAACCGAGTCCTCCGGAATGCAAAGAGGCTCACCACTGACTCTGGAGTGCTCAGCTGGATCAACGGCATGCTGGATGCTGATCCTGGGTACCTGTGTCTGCATCATCATAAGATGCAGGCCAACTGACATCAGTACATTGAATGTACGAGTATGCGAGCTGGAAAACTAAGCAACATAGGCTATAAGGAAATCTGGAAGAAACTGAATAGCTTACCTGGCTCAACTCAACTCAACCTGACTGACTCCTTTCAATATAAGGCAATTTAAAACAAGTGCAATATAAAGAAAAGCTGTTTAAAACATGCTATAAACCCTGTGTGTATACAAAGATACAATACGCCTAAGATGTATATAGAAATACAAATGAACTGATGTATATAAAAATACAATAATTTCTATGGGAGTTTCTCTAACCGACAACCATCACATAAGAGATATAATGATGATACAACGATCAACCTCACACTGCCAGATCATCCTATACCCGACCAAAGGTATAGGACCTGAACTGCCTAATAAATCTACTAGTCTAATTTGAAAAGGATTCATCTAAAAAGTATGAACCTCTTCTACCCATGATGGCTACATGGTTCTATGAGGGCTGTGGGTTCTTTGAACGCTCCCCCAATTCGGTGCTCAATACTACTCCCAAAAATGTACTAGCTCTTATATTTTTAAAATATATTTCTTCATGCTGATTTGAGATAATTACTCAAAACTTAGCTCAACTATCTTGAAAATCTCAGTTTCCTCTCTTGCTTCATTTAGAAAACGATTACTCTTTTTCTGGAAAACTATCCCGAAGGCTCTTTGGAAATCTCAGTTTCCAATCTTGTTTAAATGTGAAAACATTTCTTTAAAACTTCTTTGGGAATACTTAGTTCCCTAATAACTTTTGAGAAATGAACTCAACTTTATACTTTTGGTTTAACTTGAAACTCTATACTCTTTACTTAACTTGAAACTCGAGCCTTAAAATGAAGTTAAAACATTCAATAAAGACTCTTGAACAACTTTAAAGACTTGCTTGGACTTACTTCTTAACTTCTAAGATTGACTCTAACTTCACTTGACTTTGATCCAAACTTTCCTTGAATTGGATTATGAATTCAAGGGTAATGATCTCATGTTTATGGATGAGTTCTTGACGTTTAGACGTACCTTGGAATGTGGAAAACAACTATAAAACATAGGTACATTACCAAGGAACATGTATGAAAAAGTAGGGAATGAAAGGAAAAACTTGGCGTCCTTGGCGCTCTGAGAGGCGCGGAGCGCCAGCCCTCAAGCTTCAGAGGGGCCTGCTAGGCTCTCTGCTAGGTGCGCCGCCCCAAAGGCTGGACTTCAGAGTCCCATTTGAGGGGCACTGGCTGGCGCAACGCCCAGCCCTTTTTCCCCGAAAATTCGACTTTTCTCCTTCATTTTCCAACTCTAAACCACCTTAACTTCAAAGGTTCCAGCCCCAAACACTTAGAATCATAAAACCCCTCAACATACCATAGATTTAACCCGGAAACACAATCGGAAACATGTCCCAAATCAACAAGAACTTCACCACAATCACAAGACTTCAACAACCACAACAACAAGGCTTCAACAAACACAACCCAACCAAATCTTTTCTCTGAAATAAAACGAGTTTGGTGTGTGGGGGAAAGAACCAACCCAACACTATGATCTCACATACATTAATAGGGATCACCCCCGACGAAAATCACGACGATCTTTACGGACTTGCTTCTTCTTCTCCTTTCTCCTCTTCTCTCCTTTTCTCTCAAGAACCCTAACTCTCACTTTAAAAAGGAAAAACTGATTTAATATCAGTCTAAAACCTTAATATAACCAAAAGAAATGGTTAGGGAAAAGACCAAAATACCCTTACAAATTTCGGGTGAACTTCCTATACCAACAATCCAACTTCCAAAGGGCATATCTCACTCAAACAAACTCGGAATCGAGCAAACTTGGAGGCGTTGGAAAGATCATTCCACGAGCTTCGCAAACATAACTGGAACTACACCTAACTCATCCTGAGCTGGGAGTTATGACTGTTCAAAGTTGGCCAAAAACTCACTTTTTTTTCCATACTTAACCAAATTTTCCAGATTTTTAAATTCTTTCCAAAAAATGACTATTTCCAAATTATTATTTTTTAAGCTTCTTCCTAGTTATCAACTTGCAAGATGTCACAACTTCAATCCTTCAATAGTAGCACAATCGTGCTGATAACGTATTGTAAAACTAAAGCAAAATAAGACAAGAAATATATAAGATATAAGCAAAAGAAATAGGGAGACAAGAGAGTTTTTTTTATTATTCCAAGTCTTCAAGTCACTACAATATGAACCCCATTATGCCTCTATTTATAGTGTAACATAGAGGCATACAAAAGATTAGTCATAAACATGACATTAACATGAATATAATGGAGGAGGTTATGGAAGTGAAATGTTACAAGAATAATGGTTATAAAGTTAGAGGTTACGGATGTTATGATTATCTTCATAATGGAGGAAAGTAATGGAGATAATGGGTGAGAGTAAATTCTTGATGTAGTGGACATCCACAATATAATATTTTATAACAAATAACTTATATATTTTGAGGTAGCAAAACAAATTACCATTGGGAAAAACAACTGATGTGCAGAGAAGGTACCAATTACCAAAACAGATCAAAAGTGATTATTTAGAAAAGTCATTGAACTTTATTTTTGTATAATTAATAAAATTACTTAACTTAAAGCTTTTATGCTAAAAAATCACTCAACCACTTTTATCATTAAAATAAATTTAATTTGACATAATAAAATAACATATATATTTTTATGATTATAACAAATAAATAAATAAAATTATAATCTATTTATTACCCAACCCCTACAGAATAGGTTCATCGAAAGATTAATACCCTATTATAAAAGCTATTTCGATCCACGTGTCTGCAATTCTTAGTAGAAAACTCTACACAAACAAGGTGATAATAACAATATGATCTACTCAACTAGTTAAACCATAAACATGCAGAACATTATTTTAGGAACATTATTTTAAACTACACCTGCAATTTCAATTTGACATCCTTTTAACATACTTATTTGCTAGAAATTATGTTAATATTGTAGAGATAAATTTAGTAGAAAGTGCTAATTAGTCTAAGTAACTCTACATACTGGAAAAAACTTAACTGCATCGGGTGTATACATCAAACTAATACAATTTCCATTATTATGTGATTTAATGAAGTAAAATACATCTTAATTAATTAATGTTAAGTAAAATGAACTATAAATTTAAACACATGGCATGCATGTATTGAATTGATGTATCCACCCGATGCGGATAAGTTTTACCTTTACATATTTTATAATTTTATTTATTTGTGGGCTTCATAATTACATAGCATTAAAAATATTTTATTTTGCCATATCAAATTTATTTTAATGATAAATAATGTAGTTGAATGATTTTTAAAGGTAAAAGCTTTAAATTGAGTGATTTTATTGATACAAAAACAAAGTACAATGACTTTGTTAGATAATTTCTCATAATGCAGGGGTGTTCAAAACTGAATTGTAACCGATAAGCCAACCGTAAAATTGACTTATTAGTATTGTGTTATCAAATAAACGGTTGGGAAACAGATTAAAATTTTATAATTAACGTCTTATTGGTGTGAGGACGGATTATTCAATTCCCTTATCGGGTAAACCATTAACCCGTTTAGAGTTACCATACTTACATTTTTATTCTAGTTATATTAGCCTCATTTAATATTTTACCATAATAGGTAAGAGTAATTATACATTGTTAGTCCCAACTCCTAAAGGCCAAAGCCGTAAAACCATGAAAACTTATTTACTTTTCTATAATTATCTAGTGTTTTCTTTAAAGAATTGATCTTGTTACGGCTTAAAAGCCATCCTTTTTGTAAGGTGCGTTCATCGAGAAAAAAAGGTACTATAAAGATTAAAGGTTAATTGATACATCACTCGATAATAGTTAATTCGTCACCGAACCAACCAATATCTTATATATTCGCTAGTAGATTAGTAAATTTAAAAATCAAATTTTGGATCGAATCTTTTGATATTGTGTTTTTAGAGTGGAATTCAGATTTACATGACAATTTTTTTAAAAATTTTTGTTAAGTGATAAATAAATAAATTTAACTAAAGTGACTGTGTAAGAGGAAATTCAAAAATTGAATAAAGTAAAAACTTAAAAAAAAAATAAGTGAAAAATTGTCATGACTTCAGTCTAGTCTACTCTGTTTCGCCTTTGAATCTCTGTGAGAAGATGACTTCACTGGGCATCCCCACTCAATGGGCAGTCATGGCGGAACACAATAACCAAATACTCACCGTGAATGTACGCTCTGTGAGAGCATTCAAGAAAATCAACCCATTAATCCACTTCCCTAAAATCTCTCTTTACAACCATCACTCACATTTTCAACTTTGCTTCTCGCAATCTTCTTACAATAGTACTCACCAAAATCCCCATTCATTTGTGACAAAAGGTTTCATTCTTATAATCTTCTCATTCGCTCTTCTTTCCCTTCGTATAATTTCCACTATTCTTCTTCCTGAGTTTCCTCAAAGATGGAGTCGACTAATCGCATTCTCTAAACAAGCTGAGTCGGAGCTGATGAGTAGTTGTCCACAGCATTTGATTCGAGCTGTGGTTGCCTATGAGGATAGACGATTCTTTCGCCATTTTGGCGTCGACCCAGTTGGCATTGCTCGTGCTGTTTTGTCACTCTCGTCTCGTGGTGGCGGAAGCACCATTACCCAACAGGTATGAGTATGCAGATAAGGTGTTTGTTTTTATGTCTCACTGATGAATGATCCTTCCGAAGTTTGGATTGTTGATTGAGTTTTAAACAACCGGGCCAGAATAACCTCTTTGGATAACACTCACTTCTTTTTATTTTATGTCCTTTGTCTTGATACATTATTTTAAGGAAAAAAAAGGAAATTTTTAGTTTTAAACGATCTTAGATATTTGTATGATTCTAAATCATTTCGTTAGAGTCAAAAATGAGAATTTTAAAATATTTTTTCTTAATTATAGTTAGCTGACATGAAAGTTCATTTTTGGGCATTTCACTGCAGTGAAATATTACTTCTTGGTTCACTTTTTCACTTTTCGAGAGTCAAAGTGTATTAATTTTGATTGATATTTTTAGATGTTTCTTTTTTATTATATTAGCATGAGAAATATTGCAACTTATACTAGTATTTTTTGTATAGTTTTCAAACATCTAAATTTAAAATATTTAATTAATTAATTCAATTTAGGTTTGAAGATGAGTCAAATTAACTCGAGTGAGCAAAATGTGACAAGTAAAAGTGAACGGAGTGAGTAAGTTTAGAGTACCTTCTGTCTTCAGAAAAGAGAAAGCCAGAACTCTTTCTTTATTTTCTTTTGTTTTAGTGGGATTGACGCTAGGATAGCTAAAGCTGACAAAGTAAATTAGCAGTGAAATTTTCATTTACTTTAATTATGGGTATGATTCTTTTATCAGTTCAGATAATTTAGTGGGTTGTTATTACGGTTAGACAGGCTAAATTTAGAAGGAGAGTCATCTGTCTATGGTAGATTATTTTAGAGAAGAAATGAGCTGTCAGAAAAGCCAGAAATGTGCGCAAGTGTATGATGGGTCTCACTAAAAGCTTAATTTAGGTAACAGTTGCTGTCAGGACAATAATCTTCAATAAAATAATCATTGAACTAATCACTCTATGTATACTACAATTGGTCAGAAGGATTACATGTCACACTTTGTGTTATTTCTTAAGAGTTGTGGGAAATCACCACTCTTATTTATTAATCTAAAAAAAATGGTATTGTCACCTCAAGTGAATATAAAATTTAAAGTAAACGATACCTTTTATTTGAATAATGACTTTAGAGAATATATTATGAGGTCATGGTTCATGAGTGTTCAATATTCTTATACTATTAATAACCATGGATTCAGGCGGTAATGCCACATAGACGCTGGAAATGTCATATTTTACGCCCTCAGTTGTTGCTATCACCTAATGTGATGATATATCTCTACTTGGTCGCCAATCAATATCAAGTTGGTGTAAACAGAGTTAATTCATGTAGTCAACTATAAGCATTAGAGGAAAGAATGAAAAAGCAAACGCAGAAAGCAATAGTAGACCAATTCCAGCCTCATCTGTACAATTTCCAGCCAAACTGTTTTTGTTCTATCTTTCATCATTACTCTATATGGAGTTCATCTTATTCTTTCTCATTTTAACTTTGTCCAGTATTCCTGTCTTTGGTTTTTTATCAAAAGAATTTGTCTATCCCAACTTTACTGCTTCCAATTTCCAATTTGTCGATAGCACCGGAAGTTTCTTGGTTTCTCGCAATGGAACATTCAAAGCTTCTATCTTCAATCCCGGTCCTGAACAAGTTAATTTCTATTTGTGTGTTATCCATGCTGAATCCAATACCATTATCTGGTCTGCAAATGGTGATGCACCTATTTCAACTTCAGGAATTATGAGGTTGACCAAGAATGGTATTAGTATTACTGAAAAAGATGGCAGTTTTAAGTGGTCAACTCCACCATTAAAGTTAGCAGTATACGCGATGCAGCTAACTGAGACTGGAAATCTCCTTCTCCTTGATCAGTTTAATGGGACGCTTTGGCAAAGCTTTGATCATCCGACAGATACAATTGTAATTGGACAGAAGTTGCGTGTTGGCATGATGCTTTCAAGTGCAATAGCAGGTGATGACTTGTCAAAGGGTCATTACAGGCTTTCTTTGTCTGCTTCCGATGCAATGTTACAGTGGCAAGGTCTGACATACTGGAAATTGTCCATGGAAACCAAAGCTTATACTAATTCAAATTATGCAGTGGAATACATGTCTGTCAATCAAACAGGTCTTTATCTTTTTGGTCAAGGTGGTTCTGTAGTTGTGATAATGGTGAACTTGTTACAATCCACTTTTAGAATTGCCAAATTGGATGGTTCAGGTCAGTTGATCGTTATTAGTTTTGTTGGCTCTGACATCAAACGAGATTTTGTTGGGCCAGTGGATGGGTGTAGAGTACCTTATGTTTGCGGAGGGCTTGGTGTATGCACCTCTGATGTATTATCAGATAATCCTAAATGTTCCTGTCCTGCTAACTTCAATCTTGGATCACATGATTCAAGAAGCTGTGTGCCTAGTGATAGTTCCTATTCTTTGCCAGTTTCTTGTAATTCCACCAACCACAGTAATCTGTCGAATTCTTCCTCCATGTCGTACATAGGACTTGGCTTTGGTATGGACTACTTCACTACTGATTTTACCAAGCCCTTCAGGGATGGGGTAAATTTGTCCGTTTGTCAAAATCTCTGCTCAGTAGACTGTTCATGCTTGGGGATATTTTATGCAAACTCGTCTGGTTCTTGTTACAAACTTGAAGATGAAATAGGGTCAATTATGTTAAGGACAAGTAGAAATGATGATCTGTTGGGATTTGTTAAGACCCTGGTTGGAGTTTCAACAACCTTAGGAAACAATGATAATTTTGATCAGGAAGCTGCAGACTTTCCTTTAGTTGCAACAGTGATCTTACCTTTCACAGGAATCTTCCTACTCATGGCGCTAGGTTTCATTATGTGGAGAAGATCTAGACCCCAAAGAATGGGAAAGATAGAATCCAAAAAAAGCCAACCCAGTTCTCCTTCTTCAGAGGACCTGGATGCCTTCTACATCCCAGGATTACCTGTACGGTTTGAGTACAAACAGCTTAAGGCTGCAACTGATAATTTCAAGACTCAGATCGGCACAGGAGGCTTTGGTGCTGTATATAAGGGTGTGCTCCCTGACAACACTCTGGTTGCAGTAAAGAAGATAATAAATTTAGGCATTCAAGGGCAGAGAGACTTTTGTACTGAGATTGCAATCATTGGCAATATTCACCACATAAACTTGGTCAAGTTGAAAGGTTTCTGTGCTCAAGAGAGACAACGCCTATTGGTTTATGAATATATGAACCGTGGATCGCTTGATCGCACTCTTTTTGGTCATGTACCTGTATTGGAATGGCAAGAACGGGTTGAGATAGCTCTTGGTTCTGCCCGCGGACTTGCATACTTGCACAGTGGCTGTGAACAAAAGATTGTCCACTGTGATGTGAAGCCAGAGAACATTCTCTTGCACGATAATTTTCAGGCAAAAATATCTGATTTTGGCCTCTCCAAGCTGCTGAATCGTGAAGAATCCAGTCTATTCACAACTATGAGGGGGACTCGTGGCTACCTTGCTCCTGAATGGCTCACAAGTTCTGCAATCTCAGACAAAACAGATGTGTATAGCTTTGGAATGGTACTCCTTGAAATTGTAAGTGGAAGGAAAAACTGCTCTTTAAGAACACAAAGTCACAGCCTTGATGATAGTGCTACTGGAGATCACTCATCATCTTCATCTGCACAGGGACTTGTTTATTTCCCTTTATTTGCATTAGAGATGCATGAGCAAGGAAGGTACCTTGAACTTGCTGACCCAAAACTTGAAGGGCGGGTCAATGGTGGAGATATAGAGAAGTTTGTGCGGGTAGCATTGTGCTGTGTCCATGAGGAGCCATGCCTCAGGCCAACTATGGTTAGTGTTGTTAGCATGTTAGAGGGCGAGATACCACCAACTGCGCCAAGAATGGAATCTCTAAACTTTTTGCGCTTCTATGGGCGACGTTTTTCAGAGGCATCAAACATGGAAGAAGCTGGAGGCCAGATTGATGCCATGTTATATCCGCAGGCAAATACTTCTCATACAACCTCTCGGAGCGTCTCTAATGCTTACTTCTCTTATATTTCGTCCCAACAAATCTCTGGTCCAAGATAGAGTCTAGTTGATGCTACTTGATTCTATAGAAGTGGAGTGCAGATAATTTGTAAATTGTAGTCCAAATGTATATTAGTTTACTCATGAAGTAACACGAAAGTTGAATTTCTAAAAAGGGAATGCATTCCATTCTTAACTCTTGGTTCAATCTTGTTTAAATACAACAAACGTGTTTGATGTCCGTGTCCGGTAAATGGTGCAAGACGGTTTTTAATCTCAATATCTGATCAGGTTTAAAAGTATTGCCTCTTCCACCAAAAAGGACAACAGCAAACGAAACAAACTAGAGAAGAACTAATACTGCATATACTAAACCAAGATGTTTTAGTGGGAGAATTTTATAGAATGGCATGGAGGATGCTATGTCCGGGCTATATTAAGTACTCAAAAATAAGAGTAACTTGGTTTTATGTTGAGGTTTGTTTGACTTGCAGATTATGTTTGGTAAAAAAGAAGCAACAGGAGATTTGGGAGTGGAACATCTAAAACTTGACAGCCATTCAAATGAGACCTAGAATTCTATATCAGCTTTGAGGTCCTTCAACAATAGCTTTTTCTAGTTTTAGTAGTGAGAGATAGGTGGTCCTAAGAGTGAGAGATGAGCTTCAACTTCATGATATTCTGATTTCTAAAACCCAAAAATTTCTTCCATTGAAAATAGATAGCACCTTCTTATGACTTCCTCGTTCAATGTAGAAATGTGTGTTTCATCCTGACACCTCCACTACGATCATCCCTTTTCCCTTCGCCCACCCTCCAACCCCAGTAATTAGGAAAAGGATCTTGCTTTATGAAGTATTTATTATTCTTCCTTTCTATATGGAAAATGCCTCACAATATAACAATTCATATAGGAATTCAATAGCCCAATCTCTTAGTTAAATGAGGACTTGGTGGAGATTATTGCTGCTAAGAGCTTACTCTAGATTTGTTGCACA